AGTTTACCACTGTTGCACATTATTTCATAGAAACGCTATTATCATAATATATGTAGCTCTGTTGCCATTAACTTATGCACAAACATATTTGCGCATATCTACTTGTCGCTTCTGTTTTTGTTCCTTACTATTTACATTGGTGTACCATTCACTTACACACATATATCCATATGCGTTTAATATTACCTACCTACACTTTATCTAAATATACTTATATGCATACATTTTACGGCGCCCCTCTAAATTAATAATCACACCGTACTCACCTCATAGCTTGATAGCTAGTATTTCCTGTGTTATTCTTCGAATTTTGGAATTGATAAAGCGATACGAAAGCCAGATAATTCAATGAATGAATTTATTGAGAACACGGGCGATTTGAAATCTGAAATTTAAGGATTTGAGACGCACAAGAATATCGCCTCCATTACGGCGCAACACCACTAAAATTGTTTTTTTATCGCTTTTTCTCACGCCTATAACTCAATACCAATTAATTGTTGTTTGAAAGGCACTCATGTTATAAATCGTTCTCTTTTGTTTAAATAAAATACATATTTAACACTAATGCACAGTACAATATTAATTTATTTAAGTTATGAACTGTGTACGACCGAACAGAATAACTACAAAAACACCTATCGATGGTGTGTGAATACTTTCGATTGTTGCATAGTTTTATTTTGTGCTTGCGCGGTTTACGACCTTTTTATGTGTTTGCTGATATAACACGATATATACCAAATGATAATCGATACCGAGTTGTATGTTGAATAATCGCTAGATATTTTACTGTGAATGGCTGTGTTTATCCAAAGTGCAGACACTTGTATCAAAAGTCAAAAGAACATTATATTGATGAAATCAGTTTGTCTGTTCTAAACAGAAAAATAATTTTAGAAACATAAATAAATTGAGTTTCTCAACATAAATCTTGCATCATTGTGAATGCTACACGTTTTCTGTTTCTGCTTCTGAACTGTGAAAGATCTGCATTTAATTATCATAGACAAGAACCAATAAATGCAAAAAGCATATTTTTTGTCGACAGTGGAAATTTAAAATAATACATTCTAAAACTTGAGAAGAGCTGATTTGAAAGTGCCATTTACATAAACGAAAGTTAATTAAATTGTCAGTTATTATTATTACTCAATATAAAATTTTAAGTATTTTACTCGAAAACCTGCAATTGAAATCAGAAAATTCTTATGAGACGGAAATGAAACACATCTAAGGCAGATGCGGTAGCTGCATATTAAGCAAGCCAGAGGAATTAGAAAATTTGTTTGAAAGGGGCCTCTTTTAAATGAGATTATTGTTGTTGTTGTTTTATAGTGAGAGATCGTTCCTGAAGTAATTTTAAGGTATGGAAACGAGTTGACAATCCTTACCCTGTTTAAACTCCGGATCCGTTCTTGTTACTAGCCACGACTGTCGTGGAAACGGAAAATGGGTTTAATAGTAAAAGTCGCCTGGAGTCCGCCAAAAATTAACATCAAATGTCTCCTAAGAGAATGAAAAAGAGACCAGATTTTGTAGCAGAGGAGAAGTAAGTAAGTAGTAAATTGTTTCTGGAAGTGTAGGTCATGGCGGGGACGTACATCGAATGTTCGTCTTTGGACATTCCTAAGCAGAAAATCAATTCATATTTTGCTTATACAAATGTATGTGCGTTTAAATTTTTTTTTACTTGCTCAAAATGTATGTGTGTGCTTCCTGTTTTGAAACACATGCACAAGTTGTGTCTTAAAATTTTTGTTACAAAAATACATAATGATGTGTGTGTTTCAAAATCTTTGATTTCGTAATGTATAACTGTTTGTCCACTAATTAACTTGTGTAAATATCTAGATCTTTTGATGGATCTTGGCCCCCTCATAAAACGCGATTTCGCAAAAATATAGTGCTAGAAACCTTACTAACGCTTAATATACGAATGTCATAAACTATTTGGGTGATACACTATATACATATAACTTCACTTAGTAAATATTGCTCGGCGTCGCTTCAGATAAGTTGTGAAATATTAAACTCGGTGAAAGTGCTAAAACCCTCATCATCATAAACCAAATGTAAAGATTTTCAGGCATCTTTTAAACTTTAACAAATCAAGTATGTCAAAAATGGTGTTAAAATCCTCGAAAATCGATAACTTTTGTTTAATTAATTTGTAAAAAATATAAAAAATTTGTATATGTACTTTCACTATTCCTAAATCGATTCATATTATTTATTCTGTAAATATGTATTTGCATATTTAATCTGACGCTCAACTCAATTAAAAATACAATTAACTGAAAGCAAAAGAATCTTTCCATAATCGTGCCAAATTGTATCTTATCTCGAAGGTAGTCGGTTCAATTGGCTCTACCGATGTCTAACAACCAAATGTTTACACTTTTTTTATATGAGACATTTGTATATATTTTGTATTTAATTTAATAAACAAAATCACTCTTTGATTTGACCACGCCTCAGTTCCTAAGTCGCTTCGTGATTTATATATAGGGTAGCAACAAAGTTAAATTTTATATTCTAAATTAACCATTACATTGGTTAACAAAATTTACACGGCACATTCTCTTTTCCTGTTAAATTTCTTTTTTATGGAAAGTTTTTTATACTTTCGATAACTCTGTTTTCTTTCCTTTCTTCTTAACATCGATTCGGATCACTATCTTGTTTCAGACAAGATCTGCGCAAACTACTTCGGTATAGGCCTCCTCATCATCGCATATAAGGCTCTATCGAGCGCATTGTGTGAAATATTAAATCGCACCGTCAACAAACTGATTGGATCTTATTAGTGTGGCATTCACCATGTGCCAAATCTTGAAAAAAAAGCCGTGAAGCTGTGTAAACTGACTTTGAGTAATACCAAAAGACCTCTCCGAGCCAAACGAGACTTCAGAGAAAGCGACTATCTACCGTGCGACTTCTTCAATCTACTGCTAGAGAAAATAATTTGAGCTGCATAGCTTAATCGAGCAGATACAATCTTATATTAGAGTGTACAGCTGCTGGCTGTACGCCGATAATATTGATATCAATGGCCTCAACATCCGCGTCATTAGTTCTGCTTTCTCTAGACTAGATAAAGAAGCGAACCGAATGGGTCCGGTAGTGAACGAGGGCTAGACGAAATATCTCCTGTCATCAGACAAACAGTCGTCGCAATTGTGACTAGGCTCCCACGTCACTGTTGACAGTCATAAGTTTGAAGTCGTAAATAATTTCGTCTATGTTGGAATCAGTATTAACACTAACCATAAAATCAGCCCCGAAATCCAACGCAGAATAATCCTTGCCAATAGGTGCTACTTCGGTCTAAGTAGGCAATTGAGAAGTAAAGTCCTATCTCGATGAACAAAGGCTGAGTCGACGTTACAAGCTTTCGAGAGAAATATTCTGTGGAGGATAAGGCTAGGTCACGTCTTCCGATTACATGAAAACACTCCAGCTTTAAAAGTTTTTGACGCAACATATGCCGGTGGATGCAGAAAAAAATGCAGACCTCCACTCCGTTATAAAGACCACGGGGAGAAAATCTTGATTACGCTTGTAATCTCCAGCGAAAAGGAAGAACGACTGACGTGCTGTTGTTAACTTTGCTATAAACGCATAAGCGGTGTCTACTTTAATAAAGAAGTCTGCTTTTCTTTTTTTTTTGGTTAAAACTGATGATTTCATGTTCAACGCTGTTCTGCAACTGCGCGAATCCAAGGAATATTCAGGAGTACAAACAGGAAGAAGATATCCGTCAATTACCTAGTAATGGTACAAGTGCAATAAATAATAGAACCTACTGTTTAAAACATTTAGGGCAATCTTCATCAAATTTTGATATCTCGACAAACAATTCCAAGGTTAGACTTTCACATCTAAGCAACCAGAGGAATTTCGCAAACTAGAAGCTATTTTTAACAAATCCATTCTAATCCCTGGCGGCGTTTACTTTCATTCAAATGTTTCTCTTTAAGATAAAGACAATACGATTTGTCTGAGAAGCTGCGAAGAATGTAAATATATTTGCTACATTCATTTTGTTTGTTTGTGTGCGGCTTTTTCGCCAATCTAAGCAAATATTCTGTTTGATTTCATACCAATGCGATGGTGTGATGAGTGGTTCAAGCTAGAGCAGTAACGTAGGCTCCCAATACAATAAACTATTCATCGCCTAACTTAGCTGAGGTCACATCACACTTAAGCTAATACCAACTGCATGCTAGTAGACAAACTGTTCACTACACCCTTCAAGTTTTGACGAAACGAACAAACAAAAAGCAGCAGCGTTGTTAAACACGTTGAGCTGGAAAAACCAGCAGTTATACAACTCTCCTCCTTTCGTTTGCTTACTCGAGCTATTTTGCGAGACTACAAAGCTTTCTGACACTATTTGAATAACGGTTTAGCGTGCAAAATATTTAATTGAAATATATGAGTGCATATTTTCAAGAAGATTTACACCGGACGTCAGATTTGGATATATTTTTACACATCTTCATATGTACATACATCAATGCCGTCATTACAAGTATATTTCATTAGTCTAACGGCAAAATTTATTATTTGAGTGTACGGCAAATATATAACATCAGCCGACTGTACTATTGCTGTACTGTTTTAACATAACTGTACCCCTTTTCGCGAATACTTTCATATAAATAGCATTACAACTGTTTTGATTTTTTATGCCGAAGCTTTACCTATCTCCGACCGCAGACCATATTTATTTGCCCACGTCCGTATATGTATATGTACCGTTAAATGTATATCAGTTGTAATTATATTTATTTGTCTGCTTAAGTAGAGTTTATAAAACTTTTCCCTTAAGTAATCAGTCAAATTTTAAGCACACAATTAGATGCACCGACACAAATAGAAACAAAAATATGTTAACAGTTATTTACCCAAATGCTATCTCAGCTTCTGGCTTCATATCTCTCTAACTTTTAGATATTTAAATGAAACCGTAGCGAGTCTCTCATGGTATTTTCTGGCGGTTAACAATGGGGTTGAATAACTGAACGCAGATGACAAAAAATAAATCTGTCGCGGTCCTCGAGGGAATTCGTAGTGCAAAAATCTAAAAAGTAGACAAAGTGTAGAAGTTCCTTTTTTTTCTTAAACGCGTAACTAAAAAAAAGTGACTCGAGCAACAAAATGGCGAGAGAGAATAAAGAGGATACTGTGGTTATAGATGAGGCGCTAGAAAGAACGGGTGAGATTCTATCTCTAAATAATAAAGTGGAAATTCATAAGTGTCGGATAATATTTAATCAACAGTGAAATTCATTCGTTCAATTTAGTACAATTTTAAAAATATAGAAAAAAATAATAATAGACTGAAGAGTTGTAAAACAACATCGGATCCTTACGGACATTCATACATTTTAGTTTTGCATTTCCGTTATATCCAAGAAAAAAAGCGAGAATATTGCAATTTTTAACGATCGGTCTACCGCGGTTATGTGAGGAATCCATGCAGATAATAATATCGAGGTGTCTCGTCAAGTGAAAGAACAAAAAGCAAATTTGGTATTCCCATCAAAACAAAATTAGTGTAATTTTGAGTTTCTCCTTCGACACTTCCGAATTTTGCAAAATTTCTTGCTGTTAAAAGTTATCTATTATGCAATACTACTACTACTTTTATCTTTGTACATATTAAAAAAAAAAAAGTTATGTGAATATCTCGCTGAAAAAGTAAAAAAAGAACGTAACATAACCTCAAAATATAGGAAACATAGTGCTTACACCTTGTCTAGAAGCTTAGGACAACTGGTCAACCTACATATTTGTGAGCTTATACATACAGTATGTAGCGCAATTATGCAAATAAAATCACCAATGTTAATTTAATTTGGGCGAATTGAATTACAGTTTTTTTCAAATACAATCTGCAATCCGCCTATAATTTGAAACAATAAAAGAGTAAAAAATTTATTCAGTATTTATTATAAGAAAATATAAAATATTTTGCACGAAACTTTCTCAATTTCGATACAATGCAGTTTTTACTGCTTTGATATTTAGTATAGCCTCCTTTGGCCGCATTTGCCGCTTCAATCCGCTTGGGAACTTGGGCGCTTGGGCTTTTGACTAAGTCTTCACATTTTTTTTAGTGATGGAGTTCCATACTTCTACACATCTAGTAAATAATTCCGCCTTTGTTTTCGGTGGACTGGCATAATTTTTTTTAAGGAGTCTCGATGGTCTAGAACCCTCAAATTAATTGTTTCATGGATTTTTTTAAGGTTTAAAAAAGAGCAAGCAATTTAAAATTTTTACAGTTTACATATACACTTATGAAAAGTACAAAAATTATCTATTTTTAATAAAAAAAAATTCTTGCAATATTAAAAATGGCGTCCAAACAAAGCTATCTTAACAGATGACTCCCGGTGCCGTTGTTGATTTTGACTCTTCTGAACATCTGAAACATAAACACCAAATAAATTATTAATCAGTAGGAGTGCAGCTATCGCTACAACCAAAAAAAAAAAAAAAAAGTTGAAAATTAAAAAAAATTCGCGTTCAGATTCTGAAAACAGCTGTTTTTGAACCTATTTTAGATCGAAAAAAATCAAAGTTCTTAAAATTAAAACTTGATCCTAGTCCCACCGAGACCCCTTAAACAACCCGCAGGTTCTCGATAGGATTAATATCGCTATTTTGCGGTGGAGGGCGTTCCTAGGTAATGAACGAGCGGCTGGTCAGTTGTCTCCGAGCACCTGGAGAGTCAGGACAAACATTTTGATCATTGAGTGGTACAAGCCGAAATGCAAAAAGCAGAGGCACGCGATTAAATTCTGTGTCAAACTCGACAGAGACGTTTGATATGATCAAACAGGATTACTCAGATGTTGCTTTAGCAAGATGTGGTGTATTTCGGTGGCACCAGCCCTTTTTGAAGGTCCGGGAAGAGGTCGCTGATGAGACCGTGCTGGCAGACCCGTGACTTCGACCATTCATTTAATTGCCCAGATGTTAAATTTATCAAAACCTGTGGTCAATGAACTTGAACACGAGAAAGGTGTGCGCAAAGATAATCACAAAAGTGCTCACTGACGACCAGAAATTGCGCCGAGTGGAAGTGTGCCAAACAAATTTTAACATGTGTGGAAGTTTGGGTATGATCCTGACTAATTTTGTTTCTTTGCCTGAAAAGACCGATGAAAGGCAAGCATTTTGAGACGATAGAGGGAATCCAAGCAGCTTGCACCTCGACTCTCAAAGCTATTCCAGAGAATGCTTTCCATGACGCCTTCAATGCTTGGAAATCGGCATCGACGCAGAAGAGGCCAAGTTTGAAAATTTTTAAAGAATTGTAACGATGAGTTCAAGAAATATTTTGAAATCGATTCAGTCCTATTACTTTCTGGACAATCCTCTTATACTCTTTTGTAATAAGTTGTGATTAGTTGAAGCATCGACAGTTTTTTAAGCATACTCTTGAGAAATGTTGACTTCTCTAGAGAAGATACCTCTCACAGTTAGACAGACACCGAATCCGAATTCTAAGCAAATTTTTATGCTAATTTAAAAGAATAGTAATTAATATATAATAATAACAAATATTTTTCAACGTTTTATCTTCTCACAGGTTATGGCAAATTTAACATACTCGTTATTTTATTTTCCGGCTTCGTGCTCAACAATGTGGTGCTCGAATCGGTGGGCGTTAGCTTTGCACTGCCCGTCTTAGAGTGTGACCTGAATCTATCTCACCGAGAGCAGGGCATAATAGGTGCTGTCGCCTTCGCCGGTGTCATTACGAGTTCACACTTTTGGGGATTTCTAGCCGATACCACTGGTCGCAAGCGAATAATGCAACCGGCATTACTTATGGGCTTTTTTATTACCGCGCTCTCAAGTTTGTCGCCAAATTTCATAACCTTCGCTGTGCTGCGTTTTTTAAATGGCATACTGTGAGTATTGTAAACAAATAAAAATATTTTTAATGAGACTATCTGAAATGACAGCCTAACAAGGTAGGTCGAAGAAGCTGAAGAGCATTCGAATTCCATAGCTCAAATTTAGCCTCCATTAAAATTGTGGTAGGATTGTTCGGTCTTACGATTGCTCTGTCGTAGCGACAGAAAACATTATTGAAAATTTTTAGAGGAATGGTGCCGTCTTGACAGTCCTTGGTCGGACAAAAATCCGAGTCCGTTCCGGTTACTAGACCCGACTGTCGTGGAGCAGATTACTCGTATTTATGTGCTAGACTTTTTGACTCCAAAAATGATCTGCAATGTTGTTGAAAACACCCCTGAGCACCATGCCTACGGTGCCGAGTTGAGAGTTCTTGGTCAGATAAAAACCCGGATCCGTTCCGGTAACATAAGCTATTAATTTCTCAAAACCACAATTTTCTGAACTCTTCTTTTTTTAAATAATCTACATTTGAAAGCAGGAATCTTTTTTCCTGTTTTGTTCATTCGAAGTTGGACATCCAAGTTTCGATTACTAATAAGAGATAAATAAACTGAAAAGGAGTAAATCCCTTGGAATCCCAAAAAATAATCATACTCATTATTTTAAAATAATAAACAGCAAAATAGTTCAAAAGATATATATTTCTACAATTCTATCAACAGACTTTCGGCCGGCTCCGCGACGATTTTCGCTTACCTCGGAGAGTTTCATTGCCAAAAATATCGCAGTGGCGCAATGTTAGGCAGTGCTTTGGTAAGTGCAGTTGTCTCAATATTCTTCCCCGTCATCGCCTGGCTATTCATCAATCAAAACTGGGAATTCCACGTGCCCTTCATTAACATAGTTTTCAAACCATGGCGTTCTTATTTCTTGGCCTGCGGTGTGCCAGGATTTATATGTGGTTTGTCAATGTTTTTCCTGCCGGAGAGTCCGAAGTATCTACTAACTGCCGGCAGGCCCGAAGAAGCTATAGAAGTCTTGAAGTGTATGCATAGTATTAATCTTAAGAGCAAGGACCGTGACAACACGTATAAGGTTTGTGCTTAAAAATGTTCCCTTAGGACTTTTTTTTATTTTCTACTAATATTTGCAGGTTACCACCTTACTGCCGGACGCCGACACGCCGATAGCAAAAGTGAAAGGTTTAGAAAAGGACAAATCTCTACTGACATCCATACTGAAGTCCATGTGGCAACAGACCGCACCACTTTTTATGCGCGAGCACTTGAGGAAGACCTTTCTGTGTAGTCTAATATTATATATATTATTCTTCAGCGCGCACGGCGTCTATATGTGGTTCCCGTATATTCTAAATAACACCATGCAATATACGGAAAAGTTTACCGAGCCACTGCGCATTTGTGACATTATCAAATTCGTACGTTCGGGAAATCTTACGGGTGTGGAAGCAGTTGTAAGTACCACCATGGGACCTTGGTACATGGTTGAGTTTATAATGTTGTTGTGATATTTTTACATGGACAGCATGGACAGACTGAAGGGTGCGCAATGCATTTGGAATTATCAACATACATGCATACCATATTCCTGGAAATTATATATGTATCTCTGCTACTGACCATTATGTTTGTCATTAATCGAGTTGGACGAAAGCCAATGCTTTGTAAGTACCCACAATATGACTTCTCCGCAAATATCATCTAATAATTTATTTCTTGTAGTTATAATCCTTTTTGTTTGTGGAACTTGTGGCATTTTAGCCTTTACCATACAAATACCGTTGCTGGCCATTTATCTCTTCGTCATTCAGCTTTCCTGCGGTCTTGGCACAACGGTGCTCAATGCCATTTCTGTCGAAATATTCCCTACAAATTTAAGGTAAATTATAGAATGTGTCTCAAATCACAATTAGTTAATGGGTTATGTAACAATTTTAAGCATACTTTGTGGGTTTCGTCTGTTTACGGAACATTGGATTTAATAAAATATGTAAAGGTTGAGTAAAGGTAGGGTTAAGTCGTGAAGGTACTAAATCCATTTGAGCATCTTCAAAGCAGAGGTCTTTGTCATAAGTCAATCATTTCTTCTTTTTGCTATGTGGCGCCAATTGGAGATTCCAAGCGAACTCCTCTGCTTCGCCGGGCGGGTACAGCATCGAATACTTTTAGAGCACGAGTGTTTTCGTGCATTCGGACGGCATGACCTAGCCAGCGCAGCCGTTGTCTTTTAATTTGCTGAACTATGTCAATGTCATCGTATATCTCATACAGCTCATCATTTCATCGAATGCACGCATCGCGCTTGGCAAACGCACAAAGGACCATCTTCCGCTGTACCTATCTCTAGAAAACTCCATCGTTAATGGCTTTTCACCATATAACAGGACGGGAATAATGAATGACTTATAGAGTTTGGTTTTCGAGGCTGGAATTGTTGTTGCTGTTAATACTGGTTCTAAGATAGGCGAAGTTATCTACTAATCAGTCTACATATATCTATCAAATGAATGAATTTTACAAATTTTTAAAACGTATCCTTGTCACACCTAATATTGTACACATATTTAAATTTAATTTAATATTTGTATTAAATTCTATAATTTCTTTTAGGGGCATGGCTGTTTGCATATCTCTGATGATCGGACGTATTGGCAGCGTCTCGGGATCCAATATTTTGGGTTTACTCATTGAAACACATTGCGAGCTGGCGCTCTATAGCCCAGCGGTGGCGCTAATCATTGCCGGCGCTTTAGGTTTCCTTTTGCCGAGCTCCAACAACCCCGTTGCTAAGCCAAAAGATTTGGAAAGTACTTCATAACTTACCTGTTAAATCAAGCTAACTGTTAATTTTTTGAACACGCAAATGTAGTTTGGAATAAATTCATTTAAGTAAAAGGTGATAATTTGATGAAACATTTACTGCGTAGATATATTTAAATAATCATAAATAATAAATATTTTATATTTTTCTTAGTCCAAATTTTTGTTGTAACAGTTATTTTGACTATGTGTAGTACTGAGATTAGATAATGTCATCCAGTCCATGTGTTACAACTAACCGAGTTGAAATTTGGAAGTAGCGCTTCGGAAGTAGAATTAGAAGCACAGAGGCAGCGCTGTATTTCAGTAATACTACATTGTGGACAGCATTTATACCCCAAGCAGGGTATATTAAGTTTTCCACGGCATTTGTAACAATCAGAAGGAAGCATTGGACTCCTTATAAAGCATATAGTAAGTCTCACTGTCTGTATAAGCGCGATCTAGAATCTAGTTTTTGAGATATTGATCTCATTTGCACACACGTTTCTTCCCCCAAGAAGCTGATCATTTCAGGAAATCGCCGATATGGGATCACTATAGCATATAGCTGTCCTACAAACTTGCCGATCAAACTAAAGCCTAAGATAAAAACCACGAAAGTTCCAAAGCAACGCTATAATCTGTAAAATAAAATTCAAATTGGTTCACTTTAGCCATACAATCTGATCTATCAAAATCGATATAAAGATCTTTTTTTTCTATTTTATTCCATAAGAAATGTACCTATGAAGGATATAATAGCTTCGATGAAGTCGAAACTAATATATTTTCCATTTCATTGTTATTTTCGAACCAGACGGGGTTAAATCCCCACAAAACCATCTTTGATCGGATAAAATCGCTTGTAAATCGGTATGAAGGAATGATGGATTTTCTTATTATATATTAAATAAATTACAACCTGATTATCTGCCTGATGACATAAAGTTTTATTGTCCAAATGTATGTATTTCGAAAAAAAAATCTGGTTTACACTATTTTCTTTGAGAAGAAACACAGCCCAATTTAATTTGTTTCAAACTTTTTAAACTTGGAATCAATTATTTCACATATGTATGTTTGTATACAATATACATTTACTTCTTTGATTCAACACTATTTAATTAGACATACAAGTTTACTTACTTTCGAAACCGATTAATAATACCATAAAATTTTAATTCAACGCTAAAACACACTTATTAAAATATAATTACTCTGCTAGTGCACACCCAAACATGCATACCTACGTATGTGTGTTTTCAATTCACACCTATTACAGTCACAGTATAACTTCGTATATCACATTATTGATTTTCAAATCTATTTTAATTCACCACAATCAGCAATGACAATTTTCTTCATCGGCCCACCGCTTGCACAGCCCAAAGCCTCCATAGCCTTTACGACCTCCATCCCTTGAATGACCTGCCCAAAAACTACATGTTGCCCGTCCAGCCAAGGTGTCTTTACAGTGCAAATAAAGAACTGTGAGCCATTGGTGTTCGGTCCGGCATTGGCCATAGACAAAACACCGGGTATGGTGTGCTTCAATTTGAAGTTTTCATCCTTGAATGTATTGCCATAAATGGACTTTCCACCAGTGCCATCATGGTTCGTGAAATCACCACCTTGACACATGAAATTCGGTATTACGCGATGGAATGTGCATCCCTTATAGCCAAATCCCTTCTTACCGGTGCACAAAACGCGAAAATTCTCAGCAGTTTTGGGTACAACATCCTTACGGAGCTGGAAATAACCATTTGCCACTTGAGCTCAAAACTTATTGAATCTTTTGATAAATTCTGAGATCTACAAAATATGTGCTGATGCCATTAGTTCAACGGTACCTTAATGCTTCCAAAAAAATATGCGCACATGCGTGTAAAAGCTGTGATGTTTATGTAGTAGTGCAATCCAAATCATAACTAATACTATTTGATATATTTTATAATTTTATTTTAAATGATTTATGGAGATTGTAAATAAATTCATTAAATAACGCAGTCGACATCGAGATCATTCCAACACAACAACCAAACCAAGCTCACAAAATGTGTTTAAAACTAAAAACAGTAGAGCAATAATAATTTCATTATTCCAAAACACCAGAGTCGGCAATTACAATCTTGCGCTTAGTCTTGCCAGAAGCCGAACCGAAACCTTCAATTTTCTTCACAATATCCAAGCCCTCGACGACCTTGCCGAAAACTACATGCTTATTATCCAACCATTCAGTTTTTTCAGTGCAAATGAAAAATTGAGAGCCATTTGTATTCGGGCCAGCATTTGCCATGGATAGTGTACCAGGACCTTCGTGTTTTAAAGAAAAATTCTCATCCTTAAATTTGGTACCATAAATAGACTTGCCACCAGTGCCATTGTTATCGGTGAAGTCGCCACCCTGACACATGAAATTCGGTATGACGCGATGAAAAGCGGAACCTTTGTAACCGTAGCCTTTTTCGCCGGTGCATAAAGCACGAAAATTTTCACAAGTCTTTGGTACAACATCTGAACGAAGCTGTAATTTCGGAAAAATTTATTTACTTTTGGCAAAACAATTAAATTTGCATTATCAATAGACATTTTCGGACTAAAAATATGTATATAGTTATCTAAATTATTTCATTCATATTATAATATATGTATATCATATACCAGGATATGTCTGCTCAAATATTAGAACTACTCAGCAAACATTAGGTTTAGAAGGAATATTATTCCTACAAAAAAAAAAAAAAAAAATTTATTCTTCGCAAAAATTTGAAAATAAAACAAAAAATTGTGATTATTCTAATAGAGTTCCAAATTGAATTTTTATTCGCTCATGATAGAAAAAATAAACTGCAGGGGAATCATTATTAAACTCATGTTTCCAAACACTTTACTAGAAAGTCGAAGTATTGATAAATTTAAATGCGACAATGCTGCTTGAATGTTACATTATACTTAGCTATTTCTTTTAGCTTTTATATATATTTATATTTTAGTGTGTTGTGTTTAGTTTATAACGCTGCTTAAAGCGCTCCAGACTCAGCGACGACAATCTTCTTGCTGGTCTTGCCAGATTGTGAACCCAAACCCTCAATAGCTTTAACTACATCCATGCCTTCGACAACCTTGCCGAAAACAACATGCTTGTTGTCCAACCAAGCTGTCTTCACAGTACAAATAAAGAACTGCGAGCCGTTGGTGTTGGGTCCAGCGTTAGCCATTGACAAAATACCGGGTTCGGTGTGCTTCAAGGAGAAGTTCTCATCAGCAAACTTAGCGCCATAGATTGATTTGCCTCCAGTGCCATTGTGGTTTGTGAAATCACCACCTTGACACATGAAGTTGGGGATCACACGGTGGAAACAGGAGCCTTTATAACCGAAGCCTTTTTCGCCGGTGCACAAGGCACGGAAATTCTCAGCAGTTTTGGGCACAACATCGGGGCGGAGCTGTAACATATTACAAGTTTATTTATAAAGATTAGCAATTTCGATGTTAGGATTTCATTAATAATTTTAGCTTATTTACGGATTACACAAAACACCAACACACGTCAAATTTAACACATTTCGCAACTAGCATTCATGAATTCATTAACAAAATCACAACAATCTCCAATAAACGCAAGCAAAAAATTGTAAACATTGTTACACATAAACACACATATTTCCAAGTGTCAAATTTGCATACAAAGAGTTTCGTTAAATTTCACACCAAATGTGTTCCTTACAAAATCTCATAGAAATAAGATAAGCTATATAGTTTAATTTAATTTAATATAAGTTCACATAATTTACACAAATTATTCGAAATCTGTAAATCTTTGAATTGTTTTATTCCAATTGTCCTGAATCTTCGATGAGAATTTTCTTAGATGTTTTGCCCGATTGACTACCAAGTGCTTCGATACGTTTCACAACATCTATTCCTTCCACCACCTGTCCAAACACGACATGGCGATTGTCCAACCATGTAGTTTTCACGGTACATACAAAAAACTGCGATCCATTGGTATTTGGTCCAGCATTGGCCATGGATAGAATGCCGGGTCCGGTATGTTTTAAAGTGAAATTTTCATCATCAAACTTATTGCCGAAGATTGATTTGCCGCCAGTGCCATTGTGTTGTGTGAAGTCACCGCCTTGGCACATGAAATTCGGTATGACTCGATGAAAGCACGATCCTTTATAGCCGAAACCTTTTTCACCAGTGCACAAGGCACGGAAATTCTCGGAAGTTTTGGGCACAACATCTGTTCGAAGCTACAAGAACGATGTATAAGAATTTTGTACAAACATATATAAAGGAACCTCCTGCATAAGTACTAATTATACCAAATTATAATTTTATTAAACTAATAATTTTTACATATCAACATTTTCACATGAATACAATTGTAATAAATTAATTTTTACAAAATACATACATACATACATGGTTTAATAATCTCAGAAGTAAAAAACAAAGCCTCTGTCGAATACTTGTTTCTAAAACATGACATCAAATGAAATTTGCGTTACGTAAGCTATTTTATAAGCGGTTTATAATAAACAACAAAGTGAAACATTCATATACATGTATGCAGTTATGACTCAATAATCAGCCACCTACAGTAGCAAAGACATTTGTTGAATTGTAGAAAGGTACAAAAAAAAAAGGGTAAAATAACCATTAATGACAATCGGTTCTAACATGATAGTTAAATTATTTATTGTATACGACTATATATCATAGATATTGTCCTTGTTGTGGCATAATTCTGGTGGTAAATAACATAAATAATTTAAAAATTTCGATTATAGAAAATCCTTTACTTTGGAAAGTTACCACATTTATTGTTATCGATCGATAAGCCGTTCCAGTTGGTATACAGATCATGCATTTGATATTTAAACCAAAACATTTTAAAATGATGCTAATGTAGGCAGGTGTGTTATAGCATGACTGAGTACAATTTTATGCTCCCAAATAAAAATACACAAATTTACAACCATTTGGAGTATCTAATTAAGCCCCAACATTTAGCCCAAACATACAAACGGTTCATGCAAAATTAAGGACAGGAGGCGTAGCCTCATGACACGTCGCGACACTATTCACTGCCTGATAAATGCTGTCTCACAACCAAACTTGCCTACATTATTCATACATATGGAGATAAAATTGCACGCAGACATAGAAATTAATATACAAATATTGTAATGGCCCAACATGAAATTGCAGCAATTATTTAGGTAAAAGAATTTCAGTCAACTGGGTTTTACTTTAAATTTTTTCACAAGGTTAGAGGTATTAAGTCTGTCAATAAATAAACCAAATATTGTAATGAATCCAATGATTACCCGAGAAATCAAACTAAAATAACCCACACATTGTAATATACATATGTACACAGGTAACGAATTTATATATAAACCTTTAGAAAAATCCGAAGAAACATTTAAATATAATTTATTATAAAATTACTATGTACATATTTTTAGCATTAACAATAGTTCTTATTAAATCACTCCTTCCTAATTATGTAGATAAAAAATTTGTGAAGGTAAAAAGATGGAACCTACAGAACATCTAAAGACTATATATTATTCAAAGATAAATAAACGATATTCCGATAACTTACTCGTACACATCTTTAAAATACAATTTGAGTAAATGTAGTATTTTGTAAAAAAAAATTACTATTTTATAAAAAAAAATGTTATTTATAAAAAAAAATGCGTGTTTAGATTTAAAGTATAACCCGAGATTCATTTAATAATAATAATAATAAAATAAAACCAAATTCAATCGAAAAATGTAGCATGTATACCACAAAAAAATCAATATTTAAAATTAAAACTTTGGATACTGCCCATTGAAACTATAGATACAAAAGGTAGGTGACATATTCACATCCCTTTCCTATACCATTTACTAGAATCGTACAATGCCATTTACAACTTGTTCACTCAAGGTCACATGGTCATTTCGGCCATACACGTTTATTAAGTATACACGTGCAATATGCATATACAAATAACAAATATGTTAAATTGATATCGATGCACACCCATCAAACACACAATATAATGTAGTTTTTACGATTTGCTAAAAAGTGAGATTGGTAAGGTAGGCAATGGAAAATTACTATAAGTCTCCCCTTTATAATATTACTCACACATTAATATACCTATTCTCAATATAATACAAGCAGAGCTGCAAACATCGGCATTTACACGATTTCAAGTCAACAGCATGAACACTCACCGAGTATCCAACCGGCCATTAACAGACATATGTATCATTGGAACTGATTAAATAAAAATAGAAACGATTATAATCAAAACACTTAAGCCCTTTGAAATGCAATTTAAAGAATACTTTCTAGATTATTCAAATTAACACGTGTCACCGCTACCTTAAATAAACCATTTGCCTCCACTACAGCCGCTTCAAGAACTAATAGCAAATACTGATAGCGAATAAGGAACGGCCTTTAAACATAAAAAAACAAAAAAAACATCACTCGATTTACTCCAATATATGGAATTAGAATAAATACTAAAGAATAAATTATAAACAGGCCACTTAACCAAAAGTTGGCGTCATCGGCCACCGCATAACCAACACATGCAAAATCCGGCGAAAGCAAGCTCTACGTGTGTATTCTCGTATGTATACATATGCGCAACGATGTAGAGAAATTGCACTGGGGCCCCGCCATTCGCAACTACCTACATATCACATATCCACATACTTGTAAGTTACAATTTAATCACACATTTCTCTCAAATTAATCGTACTTTTCTACATTTGGTCATTTCATCATAACCTCAAACTTGAAAATGTTACTGTTCCTTCGATTAAAAACCTCACACATTTTAACGTTTTCACCATCACTTATTCACTCAGACCACATTTAATTCTAGACGGCTAATTAGACATACTTAAAATTATGAAAATTCTAGGTTACATGGATGAAATGATGTATCTCCTAAATTTTCATTAACATATGGTGATTGGAAATGCAATGCTTACCTCCATAACGATGCGTCCAAGCGGCTGTCCGTCAGCAGTCATATCAAAAAATACACGGGGAAGACCCATTTTGCCCTTATTGCTTTTACTGCTATTACTTACGAAACGAACACCAAGAAATCCTATTTGAGACTGAAATTCAAAATGAAGCTGCCCGACTTCGATTCCGGTTTGTAGAAAATTCGATTTTTTTGCCAAGATGGCGAGCGGTCGTTGCTGGCGGCAGCAGCCTCGTAACAGTGTTGCTGTTGCACCGAAAAGCGCCATTTTCACTCGATAACAACACGTGCGAATAGAAAAGACCGATTAATGTTTGAGTACACTCAAATTCCAGAACACACCCAAGAAAAGACTTGCAGCCGGTTTATCTACTGGACAATGGAAAAAATATTAGCTATTTTATTTACCGTTTGCCGGTCAAGATTAGTGTTACCTAATCATTTTTCTTAGTGATGGAAATTTTGCTATCGCTTTTTAGCAAGACAGCGTTCTTGAATATACAGAGTTGCAATTCCTTTACCTAAAGAGTATAAAACAATGAATGCATTAACCACAAATAGTTATTCATTAATTTAGACTTACAAAAAAGAATAAAAGAGAATTTAGAAATTATAATAGCACAACACCCACATATATTTTTAATTCAAATATAAACATTACCAATATATTATTAAAATAAAGAACAATTATATTTTTCCGCTGCTTCATATTGAGTATATTTGACACTCTAAGCATCTCTGAGGGTTGACAAGTTATACATTTTTATGAAGATATTCTCTTACCAATGACATTCAACAGACTTGGCAGCATCGTTGCCCATACTGGACCTCGAAGGATGCATTTGCTTTGTTGAAGAAAACACCAATTTGACAATCGAGTATATATTTTGTAAGAAAAATAAAATATTGAATTTTTCAAAACTAGAAAAGAAATCAAGTTTGTCAACGAAAACACACAAATCTTTCTAAAGTTATAAATTACAAGTTCAAAACTAAAATTAAGGTATGATATCAGGATATGTTGACCTTCAAAATAATTCACTCATATCGTAAATAACAATCACTTTAATGATTGCTAGACAAGCATAAAGACAAATTGAAAAACTTTGATTCTTATATAGAATGCCCATGGGAGCAGAGCCTGTTTATCAACCGACAACCGTCTCGGTCTCCTACGAACCACGACCAGGAAGAAACAATGTCCGTTTACTACCATTTAAAATACTGAGGAATTCGCGATTTCAGGTACTGGTTAAAACTTTTATAATATTACTAAAGTGATATTAAGCTTGACTTAATTTACTTATTGGTGATTAAAGTGGAATTTTAAATGGCTTTCTACACAAAATAATCAACATAAGTTTTGTAGGATAATATATATTTTTTGAGTTTTTTATTTATTTTTCGGATCCTCCTAAATTTATGCTTTTAATAAGCAAATTATTTTTGAGCGTTCACTTACTTATGTATGTGTGTACTTATATTGTTTAAAAGGGATTGTGCAAACGATCATGAAAAACTCAATTGTTCACGCATTCTGCTGTATAAATGTTCACACATATGTTTATATACGCATATATGTACATATGTATGTCGTGCTAAGAAACGTAACCATGCAGTGTCTAATATACTATAGTAAAAATGCATTTAATGCCATACCACTTTATAAATAAAGATTTATTTTCATTGCCTTCATTCATTATTTTTAATTCTAATTACGACTACTTCCAGCTATTTCTGCTGATCTTTGGACTGTTGTCTATTGCAACTGGTGTAGCAATCTTTTCTAGCGCTTTAGCAAGCATGCCCCGTAATTTGTTTTACAATAGGCATACCGAAGATCTCCCCGACAACGATATTGTGGTGACCTGTTCAGAAATTCCAACCAGAATTATTGTACTGGTTGTATTCTTCACAGTAACCGGTGTAGTATGCATTGGTAAGTGCACAGTTTTTATTCTTTTCATCTTATTGCATTTCTTAACATGTTAAATTGTTGCATACTTTTAGGAGTCTATGCATCAGTTGCTGATTGGCGACGTAATTGTGTTTGCCGCTGCCCATTATTTGATAAAAAGAAATCATTAGCCAGACAACTGCAGTGCCAGAATGGAGTTGGTTGTGGCGAAGGCATAATGGCGTTAAATCCTTCGACAGATCCGCTGGTTTCACATACACAATACGCACCGGTATCAGAGCTGCCACATCGAGGCGACGAAGAAGAACGCAGAAATTTGATGCCCGACAACAAAGATTGGTGATTTTATCATTTATCGTACATAAGTTGTTTTTAGAGAATCACACTTTACTATTATTAGCATGTATATTTATAAATGTTGTTCTCTTCTAATATTTATAGTCTCAGTAGCGCTGAAGAATCGGACCGCATGTTGGAACCAGATCCACGTATTGTTTTGCGGCCAATGGGTCGCTTAGACGATGCTTAAGATCGACCGAAAAGGAGGAAATTGGACAAATTGTGCAGCTGGCTGACGAAGTATGTACTCATATTTTGTGTACCCACTAAATTATTACAATTTTAATTATGTTAAGCTGGTTAGAGCGGTGTATTAGGTAAATAACACTTTTTTAATATTTCAAATGCTTTAAATAATATATTAAGTGAGATTTTTTTATTTCTGTTGATCTTCTTAAGCATCCAGGATGTATTAAATTTTCACAGAATAAGAATTTTTAGCTCTCAATTATGTAATAAATTGAATTTTACATTGGCTTATTTAGCAAAAGAATTGAAATAATCTCGTAGTTGTTAAGCTGCTATTTATTGCTTAGACAAAGTTCAGCAATTTGTTGATCCACGCACACACAAAAACACATTAATTTGTGTAAAATTAAAATGATAAAAAAAAATTTAAAAAAAAAAAAAAAAATTGAATTATGTAACTACAAATAAGTAACTCTAAATTATTAGTATTTTTGGAAAATGTCAGTTCACATATTTATAAGTATTTATAAATAAAGCACTTGAACAGTACACGCAAACGAAGCTCGAAATCATTTGGAACTGTTTATCTTGTGCAAACAATATTTTACTCTAAACGTATTTGTTGTAATTCAATTACGTACATAATTTGCTTTCATAATCAATAAAATAACGTAAATACTTATTTTTTAAATCAAATAACGGTGTAGTTCATTATTTGTATTAAATAAAAAAATATCGAGCATTCTAGGTGAGCTTTTGATAACCGGCACAACAACAACTTTTGAAAGGTTTTAATCTTATTTGCTGTAATATGAATACCCAGAGTGTCTGCCATGAGCCACAGTGCTTAGTCACCGATGAACTGACACAAAAAGGTGGGGTCCGAATAATTTGGATGTATGTCCTGGGATAGACGTTTACCGTTGTATTATTCACTAGAACGAATTAGGCATCGTTCCGACGACAGTCGGGTCTACGTAACCGGAACGGACTCGGATTTTTATCCGTCCCAAGAATCTAATCTAAGGACTTTCAACTCTGGCACTACAACTAAAACAACAACAACAGCAATTCTTTATGCTGATATAGCTACCAACAATAACCCTTCTCTAAAAATAACTACAACAACATCCGAATGAAGTACAACATTTCACTTCGATTTCGATAAAACCGATTATCTCCAAGTTTTCCACCAGCCTTTGAAAAAAAGTGATGAAATATTTTCCGTTAGCAAACCTTTGCAACCTTTTATTTTATTATATATATATATATTTTTGAAAATTCATTAAATATTTATTAATGTGTATATGCATCTAATCCTTAGCCGAGTCGTGTTTAAAGTTATTCTCGCGAAGATGGGACAAAGTGTGTAAATGTTATATAAATATTTTTAAGTTCACATATAACCACAACACGCAAAAAACACTTATTATACCAATGCTCCACGATAAATGCATGTTTAGTCTTCCATTGGTTCCTGCTCTTCCTCTTGCTCATTCTGTTCAGTTGGACCTTTTTCTTCCTTTGCGGTGTCAGCTTTGTTAACCTCATTTTTATCTTTGGCCTCATTGGCCTTCTCAGCATCTTTGCCAGTATCCTTTGATTTCTCTTTTTCCTTATTCTTCTCCTTCTCCTTTTCCTTATCTTTATCCTTATCCTTTTCCTTCTCCTTATCTTTGCTGGACTTGGTACTTTCTTTAGTTTTGTCCTTCTCTTTATCTTTATCCTTTTCAGCATCCTTATCGCGTGCGCTAAATAAATTGAGCGTTTGAAATATTAGTTGTAATGAAAGCAACCGTTAACCGCATATTTTACCTATCCGACTTGTGATCCTTGTCCTTCTCACGACTGAAGTATGGTGCTACACGGCTATAAATGAGCGAAAGTGTGCTATGCTGATCTCGATACTTACGCTGGAAATAAAAAAGCATTAAGTGCTGCTCAGTTTTATAACTGTAATTCCAATCTACTTACATTCAGCGCGAATAGGTCTTGATCTGCATCGGAGAGTTTCCGTGTTAAGCCTTTAATTTCCGATTGCAAGTCTTTGACTTTGGTGCTTGACTTGGAATGATCACGCTGCAAATCGGTATGTTGCTTTCTGAGATCGTTATATAATTTCTCCAAATCGCCATAGTTCTTCTCGGTGCGCTTGATTTGCTCCAATAGCTTGCCAACGTGTATGACAATGCCATTATAGTTCACTAGACCTGTGCAGCGAGTAAAAATAATTGTTTTTTTTAATATTTATGAGGCAATTTAATATTAACTGTTATGTAATTACCATCATTATCATTCGTGTCATTATTGGAGGCGATGGCGCTCTCTTCACCGCTAAACTCATTCTCTTTCGGTATGTAGATACAGTTGCCCTGCGCAATTTTCCTCAACTCTTCACTGGGTATATCGTCAGCATCCTCAATTTTGGGTGGCGCTTCGATGGATTCTTCCTTGTCGGTTAGTTTTCTAAAAGTAGCAAATTCATTGATTGCACAATCATTTACTACTAAACTAAATGTTAGAAGAGAAAAATTTACCGGTAATAAAATGCTTGACGTATAGAAAGTTTTCCAAGCACACGACGTATTTGGCCACGCGACAAATTCAAACCCAACACTGTGAATAAATCCTCCAAATCTTTTTCAAAGACATAACCACAATGTGTGGTGTCGAAGTAGATGAAAGACAGCAAAAGCTGTGGCTTCACGACAATCATTTTTTTGTCCGAAACATGTTCGCGCTCCTTTTCTTTGCCGTTGACGGCCGCCGACTTGTGCTTGCGTTCGTTTTCAGCGTCATCGGCGGCAATACTACGTTTCGAAGCTCTACGTTCAGATATGGATTTACCGTTGCCGCCTTCAGTGTTGGATTTTGCATCGGCAGAGACCTTTGACTCTTCGTCGACTTCCATGGTTTGAGCATCGTCCGTTTTATTGCCACCATTAGCGGTCTCTTCGTGTTTGTCTTTGGTGCCATCTGTGCTCTCA